AATATAGTTACTAGTATATACGATCTATAGCCCAAACGTTAAACTGTACCTGTCATACTCTTAGGGATGCTGGCGACGGAACATTATATATTCAACCTTTCTCAAAACCTAACTGTCATATCATTTTGGTGTTATTTGACTGTAAAATATTCTTATTCATTTATTGTTGCAAGAGCTTTAGATCGATGCTCATGATGTCAATCGATGGATTATCTGTTCGAGAATCGATTATTTACAGGCCGCCATCGTATAGCTGGAATATTCTGAGTGCGGCGTTAAACAACAATCAACAAACAGACAGACAAACAAGCAATTTCTGGTATTTGCCATGTGCATACATATTTTCTGGTCGTTTCATCGAGTAGGTTTGGGAATCATTTATAAACAAGCCTTCCTGTAAATACATGTACCATGGCATATTCCTGCGACTTGATATTAATTCATTCACTTCCGTCAGGCCCAGACATCGCCAGCGTGGACTGTTCCACCACTGAAAACATCCGAAGCAGCTACCATCAATGCTTATTGTACAACAGTGTATTGCTAGATGTCCCGAAGCAACTAACAAGTGAAGGCACTAGCCATTACATTATGAACGCTATGGCAATGAGTGAAAGCAAGACGATGTGCAGGTATATGTAATTTTAAGAAATCGCTTACTACCACCTCGAACTCCTCTAGTTACAAGTGTCTGTGTTCAATATTAATATAAAACATCAAAGCCCCCAAAACCAGTCTCGAGTATCCATTGGACCAAAAGGCAAGATAGCAGTTGATGGATCACGGAAAATCAGACATCGCGGGTAAGCGATTGATCAATATTAACAGTATTACAAATTTAGACATGAGATATGTGAGAAAAGTAAAGTTCTTTTTACAAATGTGCAATCTCAACCAGGATGACAGCGGTATTTTGACCGTTATATCTGAGGTTGCGCTGCTTCTCTGGCGTCTGTTATCTATCGCCGTCTTCGACATTATCAATAAACATTTTCTTGATGTTGCTTCAATTGTCGCATGGTTATCCATCCGTAAAGAAGCGGGATTTCATATGCGTACAGAAAATAGCGCTTCTTCCCGAGGCAAGAGAGTTAACTGACTATAAAAGTACAGTTTCCAGTCCAGCCAGTTAACTCTCTTGAATCGGGAAGATGAAAATAGCGCGGCATAGATCTTAAAGTCTCCAAAATATATTTCTCCATTTTCAGGGTTCCTTTTTAAATTACTTATATAGAAAAACATATATCTTTATCTTTTATCAACCAGTAACATTATTTGTCAATTGTATGTAATTACAAAGCTTTAAGCATTGTATTATTCGAATGTACATCTAATTCATGCTTCGGAAATACTTATTTTGAGAACTTTTAAAATCATTTTGCTTCCATTTACTATCTTCCGAATTTTCTTATGTAGAACTGATGCAAGCATTTTAGAAATTTTAAAAATGTATTACCAAACAAGCAGGTGAGCTACGTTTTAATGAGACGATACTGATACTATTGAACATTTTTACACCAGGCACAGTTGACCGATATGAAATGGTTTTCAAAAAGGGCACTTTAAAGGGAACGTGAACCTATTTCAGAAGCAAGTATCCCAGCATGAATTATAGAATGACTAAATAGTACGTGTTACATATACAGAATATACATAAACATACAGCGTGCTTCATAAGTTACGTTCTATGTCGTACAGTAATCTGAAGAACTACCAGCTGACAGTGAACTGTGTGTAACATACACAGAATATACATAAACATACAGCGTGCTTCATAAGTTACGTTCTATATCATACAGTAATCTGAAGAACTACCAGCTGGCAGTGAACTGTGTGTAACATACACAGAATATACATAAACATACAGCGTGCTTCATAAGTTACGTTCTATATCATACAGTAATCTGAAGAACTACCAGCTGGCAGTGAACTGTGTGTGACATACACAGAATATACATAAACATACAGCGTGCTTCATAAGTTACGTTCTATATCATACAGTAATCTGAAAAACTACCAGCTGGCAGTGAACTGTGTGTAACATACACAGAATATACATAAACATACAGCGTGCTTCATAAGTTACGTTCTATATCATACAGTAATCTGAAGAACTACCAGCTTACAGTGAACTGTGTGTAACATACACAGAATATACATAAACATACAGCGTGCTTCATAAGTTACGTTCTATATCATACAGTAATCTGAAGAACTACCAGCTTACAGTGAACTGTGTGTAACATACACAGAATATACATAAACATACAGCGTGCTTCATAAGTTACGTTCTATATCATACAGTAATCTGAAGAACTACCAGCTGGCAGTGAACTGTACTCTGTGGGTACAGGAGCAGTGCAGTGACCACGTGACAAAGCCGATGGTGGCCGACTCCAAGACAGTGCAGGACGGCTTGGCTAAACTCTGCGGCCACATCCAGGGTAAGATATACGTCAAAATGTCCATCCGTTATTTATACGTGTATGTCTTTGTTGAGACTCGAGACGCACACAACATTCAAGTTCCATAATTATACGTGTGTAGAGGTTGGCATTTTAATTTTTTTTTAAACCCGGTGAGATTTGAAAGTCATTTTTAAAGTATACAGTGCATGGATACAATATATTTATTTTATTTCAAACTAGTATATACTAATTTAAATCCGGGATATAGAGTCATACATGTCTTCGATTTTTAGACGTGTTGAAGGTGGAATTTTTAAAACGGCGATATTTAAATTTAAAAAGGAAGAACTATGTATAATTTAGAAAAGGCATTCTTTTTTATTTAATTCAAAGTTGTATGGTATTTTTATTTAAGAATGATATAGTGAATCTTTCTTATAATTGTCTGTTCCTAGATTTCGACACTCAGTGCGTACAGAATGCACCTAAAGCAGTTTGCGGCAGTGGCCATGGACTCCAAGCTTTGGATTCAACTAGCCCAAGACACCTTTGCGCGTAAGTAAATTTCATCAGAGATCTTTCGGTTCAAAGACACCATGACGGTCTGAAGAATGCTTAGTACCTTATTAAATATTTCTATGTTAGATCAATGGTGTATTCACGTGGATAATTGGTAAAGAAGTTGCATGCATGTATTGAGCTGCAAACAATATAGCAGGCTCTACCGTGTTTACAACCCACGGTGTCACTGGTAGTCCAAAAGGATATCACAGTATGACTGAACGCAACTTTAATCAGGCTGAACTCAGTAATATTCCATCTAGATGCATTAACCGGGGACCTATCAATAGTCGTGGTCAGTCAGACCAGTGGTTGATAGCATGAATAAAAATCCACGCCTGGATTGCATGATGACGCACAATCACTCAGGTGACACACTGTAACCACCAGATGTTCATTAAGTTTCTGACACCCATAGTATATATTGTAGCAAAACAAATAAAAGCGACAAAACCCTATGTATAACCAAACGAATTCTCTATTCAAAGTAATGACAATTGTGATATGGTTATGAATAACTAGTGATGATGACAGTTGTTCCCGATGTGATCGTATTTGTTTCACCAATGTCACCCGTCACAAACACGTGCAATGGAAAGTCAATGGTTGAGCTGAATTTGTTTCGGAAATGTGTTCCACAAGTCTATCAAACACATTTTAAAAGCTTTACTAAGGTTTCAATGTTGCAACCCCGATGGAACAACTTATGTGCATGAGTCGTATGAAGATTTATTGAATCTTCGAACGAAAGCGTTAGACCAGCTTTTGTGAAACGTGTACTAAGGTTAAAACAAGGCGTGTGTTCCCTTTCCGCGAAAACCTTGTGTCATCTCTCTATCAATGGTTGAGCTGAATTGCTTTGGAAATGTCTTCCACAAGTCTATCATAAACATTTTAAAAGCTTTACATAGGCCTTGAATGTTGTTACCCTAATGTGCAGGAGTATGAACCTTTATTCAATCTTCAAACGAAGGAGATGGACCGGCTTCTGTAAAACGTGTACTAACGGTAAAACAGGACATGTGTTCCCTTTACGCGGAGACCTTTTGTTCCCTTTACGCGGACACCTTGTGTCATCTCTGACTCAGTATGATAATTTCAAATAAGTTTCACTTTTTGCCTTTTGCGCTTTATGGAATATGTCCGTAATCCAGACTGGTTATTACCTGGTATTAACGTTTTCTTATTCACCATGCTTTAAATAAGTGTCAAGAGTTTTCAGATTCCTTGCGCCTTTTTTATATATGATATTTCTACTCAGGATTGTACATGGTAACTCTGGAAGTGTTTTTGCTTGTTTTCAGTGCCACTAGTGCCACCCGGAAGTGTCTGGTGTCGGCAGTGAGTGGCTGCAGCAAGACGACTGTCAGCATGTACGAAGACCTCCTGCGTAGCCAATCCCCGTCTATGTGTCTGACCGCTGGGTCAGTCGTAATTGGCTGATGTAGATTGTCAGTTACAGCTTCACGTAGCTTAAACGGAGATTAAATATGTTCCAATATCTACATCGAAGTTGTTTTAAGTTTTGTTATTCCTGTATTTTCCTGGTTTGTCCAGGTATTTTGCAATGCTAACCTATGTTATTGACAGTGTATTTAGAAGTGTAATATTTTTCATACATGACCTTCTGAGGATAAAAATCAGGAAAGTACCCGAGAGTTATATATTATAAATAATTATTGGCTGTCGTTTGATTTAGGATAACCACAGAACAAGAATTCAGTCTCTGATCGGGTTCTGTGCTAGCTGATAACACAAACAAATATTAATATGAGGGTTGTAAATAAAGCGACAGAACCCTTTCCATATCCAATATAAATCTCTGTATAAAGCAAAGTCGATTATACAATTCCGATTATATCATGAGCATGTGTTTATAAATCACTATAAAATAGTAATCACACCAGGTTCCGCGAAAAGGTGAGCATATCCTGCCCCACCGGGGGCACCCGTCACAAACACATGCAAAGGCAACTCAATTTGTAAGTTCGATCTGAATGTATTATGACGTCACAGCTCGAAAATGCCGTGAAAGCCCCTTGACACGTTGTCAAATTTGTATGTGTTGAGTTTGTAACGTATTTTAAGAAACTAAAAGAAAATAGTACAAAAGAAAGTCCACATTCAGATTGTTCGGGTTTCACCCCTGAAATACTCCAACTCTCGAATATATAAGTGCGAGTACTGTCATTAACATTGAAGCCACACGTTTGCCAGCCCGGCTCTTGGGGACGGGTGTGGTCGTCCTTCCCCCCTGCACACAGGGGGCGGGGACCTGGGATGACAGCAGGTGCGTGTACAGTTCAGCAGTGCTTGGACCACAGGATTCCACAGAGGCTTTCATGCAGTCGGTGATGGTTTGGATGATACTGTTGGGTACAAAAAAAGTAAATTAGGTTCATACACTTTCAACACCTTACTCCATGTTCCAATCTCGGGTCCCCGTGAAGATCCGTGTTAGAATTTGGGCTTTTCGTAAGACTATCGGGATCTGGTTGTTAGGCTCGCTGACTTGGTTGTCGCATGCCATCGTATCCTAATTGCGTAAATCGATTCTCATGATGTCAATCACTGGCTTGTCAATGTCGTGATGTTAAAGGGGATTGTACGTACATCAGAAATATACATATTTATGTTACTCCAAAATCAGCTGTAACTCAATGTACATTCTCTTGCCAAATACCCCGAGTTCTGTCTGATTGTTGACAACTTTTGGTATATCACTTGCCAGGGGATAAATCCAAGAACAGGTATTACGGCAGCTCGGTGGTTTACGACGACACACTATAGCTGCCAGAATCCGGTCGTTGTGTGTTCGAATCCCGGGTTTGAAAGCATTAGGACCGGGACACTGAGCACTGTTACACATTCATATTCAAGTTATAGAGTCTGGCCACCCTTTAGGACAATGGTGGACCAATCTTACAATGGAATCCCCACGGGTCTGTTTTATCGAAGCACTAACAGTACATTATTTACCATATTCACATAACTACAAAGCAGTAAGGAAACGTAAAACTTAAAATTGTTATCCATAGAGTTGTTCGTTTACTTCTTACACACCAACCTCTAGAATGCCAATCAAACAGCTACAAAGCAGCACATGTTTTAATAATGCAATGGTCAGACATATCCTCAATCAACATTTTATCTATCTACCTGCATATTTGCTCGGGCGTGCTGGAATTAACCATCCATTTCTCACAGGTGCTCTGGTCGGCGTTCATCACACAACCGGAGGCAAATTCTAGAAAAACAACATACGATAAACTCTAACTGGATGTCCAAATCTATGTCACTATTGTTCAATCAATTTTAAAGGTATTTTACGTTGATTGAAATTTTTTTTTCTTAAAGAAATACACAAACTAAAATCTGAACAACTAATAACTGAGCTACTATATGAAAAGTGCTACTGCGCTGTAGCTCACCTGGATATGTAATTTATAATGCCAACAAAGACAGCCACAAAAATTAATATTTAAATATTTTCTGCTTAAATTCTAAACTCTGCATAAATACTGATTAAAACAAAAGGTCAACGCCAGAGAATAACCAGTGTCGAATATCTAGCGAAGCATATCTAAATCTTCATGCCAAAGCAATGAACATTTGTGTTTTAGCGTTTGTATTACACCTACTATCAAAATCCTTGTGTTCGCAAAATGAGGTCATTCCGAGAGTGGTAGAATGGGGGTCAGCAAACAGGTGTCGCTTGGACGGACTGCACTGTGTCAGGACAGCAAGGGTACAGCTGACAGCGTTATGGTAGGCCGACATGTTGCTGAGAAGGCAAATAAACAATGTTACATGAACAGAATCGGTAGGTAGAAACTATAAAATTGTCATAAGAAAGAAACCAGAAACCATGAAAAGCACCCCGTAGTGCAAGCATGCAATACCAGTTGCATTAAATGCTTTCAACCCCTATTATATAAAAGATATATAAAAATCGGATTAAGAAAATGTCGTTCATTACGAACCCACTGTGTTCTTCGAGTATTATGTTATATTTTCAACATGACAATGTGACTTTTACCTGCACATGTCTCTATGTCGGGACACTGTGAGACCTTTCAGTATGTAATCCGTTGTTTCTTCTGGTGATGACAACTGAGGCACTTCAAGGTAAAAACCTTGGTACAATAAGCAGTTAAGAGCTCCGTCCTGTATCCCTTTAGTCGTTGAACAGTCCACGCGGTGCGTATGTCTATTTGAGAGTTCAACTGTTGTATCTGTGGTCATAGGTCGCAAGGAATAATTATTCAAATGATTACAAATGTAACCTTCACAAATATCGACAAAACGCCGCGATTTTGCTTCATCTATCCCGAGAAGGGGGTGCCTAAGTGTCCTATCCCTAAATATCACTATGATGTTTTACATAAGGCAGTTTATGCATTTCATATTGTTTTCTCTGTAAACCTCAGATTTCTTTTGATTTCATTTGTGAAACGGCTCATAATTGTTTGAAAGACTCATGAATGATGCAGATTATTTGTGACGCACAAAAGGAAAAGAACATGCATGTCTAGACATTATCTTGACTTTACCACAAAATGTTGAAATCGTACGCGCTGATTGTGTAACATTTCTTGAACTCTCTTATCAAAGTGGTCCAACACCTTTGCACAACTTCCAGGAGCGATGAGATATTTCGATGATAACGAAAAAACAGTCCGTACTTATCTTTGTTTTCGTGTGTATGTAGTTAATTACATATGCCTATCTTGTGAATTGCGGGGTGTTGTTTCAGACTACGACACATCACGCTGCCGGTAATTCTTACTTCACGATAAGTGATAAGGAAACAGAGCACACACGCAAAGATTACCATCTGTCAGTTCTAACAGTTCTACTCGCAACCTCGTCAGTGCTGCAAGGTTAAGCATTTGGTTTTCGAACATCCAACATTTACTTTATATTCCGTATTTTAATACTGGACCTAAGTTCGGAACCAACAGGTACATTATGTAAGGAACACATAAGTAAAATACTAATGATACAATGTGCAATCAGTAGAAACAATATGACAATTGTAACCTCACCTTCCTTTCGCAAAGAGAAATGCTGGTTCCACAGCCCCGTTTGATTATATGCTTTCAACGAATGATGTCTTGCTCTTTCCACGCAGCTTTGGACAGTGTTTTATGCCATATCACATAAATTTGTGAGGAAAGCACAAAGTGATGCAGATCCTAGACGTTTACTATTTCTGTAAAACCGGATATAGTTTTGAGACAATCAGATACAGAACACAGCTCTTGATCAGGAGATTCTTGGATTCGAACCCATGATCCATTTCATTTAATGTTAAGATATATGTTTCACTCTCATCATCGTCAGATATAATAAAATCTTGCAAAATACCAGTTCTTGCATTTAAATCTCCTGCATGTATAATAGAAAGATCTTCAAATTTACAAAGTTTCTTAAGTAAACATTGCTCAAGATAATCAATACCTCTAACATCATGGATATCAGTCTTTGTTGGCGTAGTTTCAGGATGTACGTAAGAAAACAAAAGTAAAGTATCACGTGGTAAACCAAAAAATACGTGATCAAGTATTATAAATATACAGTCGGTACAAGTTAAATCAACATGTTTAACGCCTTTAAACAGTTCATATTTGACGAAAAGAGCGACACCACCTCTGGTATTGTATTCACGAAAGTTTATCATAATATTGTGATTGGGGAAGCTTTTTTTCATATCTTCTTCAGAACAGTTGCTCCAAATACCTGTTAAACAAAACAATTCAAATAAAGAGCAAAACCCAACGAAGGATTTGTCCTGCAACTTGCGATTCAAACCGTTAACGTTCCATGACATGAACGAAAAGTTTCTTCATTTACCGTTACAATCCACGGCCCGGCCGAGATCCCAGCTGTAAGCGCTACGCGCGGGTCCGCCCCCACCATGACCTCCACGTGAACGAAACGCGGGACGGCCGCGGCCGCGACCTGCTCTGAATACCGTTCTTTCAATCTCAACTGGCCTTTCATTTTCAAAGTCTTATGTGAATACCTTTCCATTTTCATAAATCAGTTTATCAAATCTAAGCTTACATTTCTCACCAAGTGCCTTTGAATCATCCATTATTGTTTTTAACATTTTATGCTTATTTCTAACGTTTTATGAATAGTCTTCCGAAATACTGTATGAAGTACCTTAGAGTCGTTTAGCATTTCTAAGGATAGACTATTTCGTACCATAGTCTCTTAATTTGATATTGAGAGATTTACTGTTATTCAATCTATGACAACGTTCAATTGCCATATCTGAATCACCCATTTCCAGATTGTCCTTAATGATGTTACGTACTATATCTTCACAATCTGTCCATGTCTCTGATTGTTTCTCTTTCACAACACCGTGGAATAGCAGATTATTTTTACGGCTTTGGTTTTCTATATAGTCCAGTTTGTCTGTGACTGAAGACAGTGTTGTGTTGATTTTAGGGTACCGTTTTCTTCCTCGAGTTTGTTACATCTCACAGACAGGGCGTTAACGTTGCCTGTAAGAGAGTTAATCGACTTTGGCAGATACATTCTTTATCTCGGATAGAAGCTTTTCAAAGTCTGAAGTTTCACATTCCTGACCCGATGTCAACTTGAGCTGTTTCGTGTTGGTTGTACTGTTACGGGTTTCAGGTCCTGGGTTAGGTTCGACGCCAGAACGCAGCAGTAAACCGATATGATACTCAACACTTTATATGAAGTCGAAACATCATCTCGAGCTGTACTTATTGTAGCTTTTGATAAATCTGCAGGGTGTTGAGGTAGTAATCCTGATGCTCTCTGGACCAGATGATACGACGTATCCGGAACAGAGAGAAAATTTTGGCAGAAGTGTATCCTAAATTCGTGACATGTAAACAATGTCGAGGTATCCGTTTTGGGGAATGGATATGGGGTCTGCTGATGTGGTTCTGTGTGGAATGGGAACGAGTCGGCAAGTGATAGTATTGCGGTTGAAAGTGTTGTTGATATGACCCATAATGAAGTGAGTAACACCGTCGTGAGCGTCACTCGGTAAGCCAGGTCTGTAAATGGCATTTGAAACTTTTTCGGAACATGCGTTTAGTGTACATTGAATTGCAAAGTCGGAGAAAATTCATATATAATTCGTTGATCATTGATATACCTGAAGCTAAAGTTAAATTCGGAGGAGAAATTCCGATTCATGTGCGTAAAGAAACAAATCCGCAAGAAGGGGGGCACAATCGGTGCCCGTGGAGATGCCTACTTCTTGCCTAAAATGTCTTACCCCCACATTTTACATAGATTTCATCAATGATGATGTCCACCTTTTCACATATTGTTTTCTCAGTAAACTTCAGATGACATTTGCTGTCATTTTTGACAAATTGTGCTGACCTCAAAGATAGATATGCAATTCTATCAATGGTCACCATGTTTTGTAACAAAACCCCTATGGATCAAGGAATGAAGTTTTCCTAAGTTTTGACAGAATTGAACTTGATTCTTATCTGAGATTGTAAAAAGTCAAGCAAATCCTTTGAGTTTTAGAGAATCCACATTAATAATTCCACTTCCTTATTGTATGAAGGATAATGGTTAATCTTCAAGACAGGAATTTGGTGGTACATTTGCTGTACCCAGAGATATATCTCTCTTTGTACAGAAACAAATGTTTCTAGTTCAACGCACACTGTCTTGCACAATACCTTTTATCTATTTTGAGAGTATGCCATGATTGTATTCAGGCAGATGTTACAGGCGACACGGATTCCCACGTGGGTGTGTATCAAGCCCTGCATATAATATAAGTGCAGGGAAACGTGTATGTTCATTATAAGCGCTGGCAACCATGAGGCTCTTGTTCCTGTTCGTGTTCCTGCTGTTTTCGATGGTTTCCGGTAAGTTTATTTACGTCTCTGCCTTTTGAATAGTAAAATGGTTAAATGGGATATTCACTCCATAAACTGGACGACGTGGTGTCATCCAGTTTTATTAATCTGTTGTTACTATTCGCTAGATACTGGGTCCTTGGGGTGCTTGGAGAGTCTATAGGATTTTGCTTTTGCTGAAATAATGGATCATGCAAACACGAACACTATGATTTATGATTGTAACATATATTTCTCATCTAATTTGGGGCGGTGGAGTAGCGTGGTGGTTGAAGCGTTCGCTCGTCACGCCGAAGATCCGGGTCTGATTCATCACATGGGTACGATATGTGAAGCCCATTTCTGGTGTCCCTTGCCATGATATTGCTGGAATATTGCTAAAAGCGGCGTAAAACCAAACATACTCACTCACTCATCTTATTCGTGTTATACTGAGAACATCTTTGGTGTTATGGCGACTGAAACTCGAACCCTACCATTTTCTTGCGTAACCCGGCACACCCTGTACCATCGCAAAACGTGATACAAATTTGCAAATCTCTCGAGCACTAATATATCTGTTTCTGCCTGTGAAAGCTGAATTTTTAATTCGAGGATGTTGATTTTGCAATAAGCGAGAACAAATTAGAAGAACTCATTGAATAATTTTCCAGGGAAGAATGGAACCTCAGATGTGATCGATTTCTCCCAACTAGTAAACTGCAGCGATCTACAATCTGTGTTTTTAATTGAACAAAAGTGTTTTGAAGAAAACGGCGTCACCTTCAAACTTCCATCCTTAAGCGAAATCAACAACTCGTCCGGAGCTGCAGTATTTTCTTCGATAACCCCAGGTTATTTAGATGACATGTGTAGGTTAGTATGAACAATTCCTTTAATAACACTTTAATAACATCAACAATCATACTTCATGCTACTATTAATGATGATTGTGGCATTGGAATAGCGAAAAACAAGATCAAATGATAATGATAATTGAAATACTACCATTATGATTTTAGTGCAGTGACTGATGTTTTAAGCCGCAGTCAAGGATGCCCAAGTATCAATGTATGAAGTCGAATATTGACCGGGCAATCTGGTGACTGGCGTTGTTGATGCATGTCATCGAATCCCAATTGTTCATGCTGTAAATCAGCTTGATGGTTTAGGCTCGATTATTTGAAGACTGCCACCCTAAAGCTGGAATATTGCAAATGTCAATAAAATCAGACATCCCAATAGGTTCATGTCAG